AGTTGGATCACAGTGGCTTAATAGTCTACCGGCATGACTTGTAGCCAGAAGGTCATGAATTTGCCGCCTGCCTTTGGGTGCTTACTTCCGATGAGTCTGTACTTTGCAAGCAGCTAATCTCATTTAAGCGTTTATTTACTATGATTCAGTGCTTTCCAACTGGTCTGAAATATAATGGGTGAATGTAAAGTAAAATTGTGGGAGGGGTCAGCTGTATTCGAATGAGCCATTGATGATTCACTATCAAAGACCAATTTAGACAGTATATGATACAGAAATCAGATAATTTTAATTGTCTTACATATATACTGTAAGCTTGTTGATAAAACTTTTAGCAACTGAAGCTAATGGATGGCATGATATTCAAGCTTTCATCTACTCTGCTGTGTGAATGTGTTACAAAAGGTTATAGGCAACCACCTTTAGGCTGCATTAGTTTGTGAAGTTACTGGCTGCTCCTCGAAAGGAGGCACTCAAATCTAGACCACTTGACATTGTTAATGAATATTTAACCATTTAGCAATAAAATACTCACACAATACAGGTCAAAACCTATTAAACTAGCATAATTGTACACACTTTTTATTTTTCTAATCAATCTCCTTTTATATCTACTCAAAATTACATTAACGGAACGGTCTTGAAAAATGCATGATAAACAGTGGTCACAAACTGACTCCACACATCTCTTCATGAACAAGTATCTAGCAACCTAGAACTATTTAAATATACATTAGTGCTGATATCAGTTAGAGAACCATTGAAAACCAGGGAGTACTGGACAGATGAGGTTTCATCCTAGTTTGGGAATCATCGGAAGTACGCACCCACTGGGATTCGAAGCCAGGACCTTCCGGTTACAAGGCAAGCTCGTATACCATTCACCCACTGGGACCCGATTCAGTGGCTCGTGATTTCTAACTTCTACCAATTCGTGATTTAGCGCGACCCAAACCAGTGTCGTTGGTGGGTGCGTACTGCCGAAAATTACCAAACTAGGATGAAAAAGCAGCTGTCCAGTACTCCCGGATGTAAAATGGTTTTCTAAATGATATCAGTCCGTGAACAACCCGTAAAAAACAGAACAAACCTTACAAAAAAACTATACAAAATACATGAGTGAATTTATTTAATATCACATCAGACCAACAAAATATTTGGGATCAAATGTAGTTTAAATCCATACACAAACTACCGTATTCAGTAAATTAGGAAGATTTTTCAAGCACTGCCGTGCAGGGACTCGCTACCTATCAGTATTCGACCATAGGTGTTCGCCTCCTATCTCTACTATTCAGTGGTATAATATGGCGAGTAATATCGACCCTAAGTATACAGTGTTGGGTAAGGAGGGGAAAGCAATCGATCAGGTGGTGAAGCTGTATCGAACGAGATGGATGAGACACGTATTGTGAATCGAAAGCCATCGACTTCCACGTTGTCCAATGGTAGCTGAGATCGGATTGCGTTGGGAAAGCGATAGCGGTGGTCAGACCAAAACATGACACCAATCCATCAAGTCTCCGACTGTTGCTTTCAGCCACGTGAGGCGGTGTAGACTGCCTGGCTCGCGTCATCCACACACTGGCAAACAACGGCTCGAAGCCACTCTCAACAGCGAAGACGCGTTCACTCTTTGTCATCTCCTACATCTTTCAATTCCTCATTACTCTCCATGTAGTTATTCTCTCTAGCGTACACTTCTACTCAGTAGAATGGCTATTTCGAAGATTTCCCCGTCTCCTCCACCTTCGTGTGCTGTATGGATTGTGGAGACTTCAACTTCTTCACTTTCGTGCAAACTTCTGCGTCGGAAATTCACCTCAGTTGACAAGAGAATTTACTTTCCTCTGATGAACACAGGAGAATCAGCTCGACTGATTTACTTACTACCTGAGATATAAGAGCCAATAGTCATGCAAAGACTGAACACACCTCTGGAAACAAACCCAAGACAAACGAGCAGATTTCGGGCTCAGATGAGAATGCATTGGTCAAAACTTCACACTTCGAAACACAGACATCACAGAATCCCACATTCGCCTCATTTCACTATCTACCAAGGCGACTTTGACTACATCGATTGACAGCTTTCTTGCTATGTCCAGCTAACAACCGAGTGCTGAGTGTGGAATGCTTACAATATTTAGTGCCTTGCTCAAACTCACCCAGATGTGAAAGACGACAATGAGAGTTGACTGTTCCGACCACTTCACTTATTTGAGAGTTTGCATCAGCCCTTTTTTGTGATATGCTTTTGAGTTTTAGCACGTTTTTCAAAGTTTTTTGAGCTATGCTATGCTGAGATTCTTTGTTTTTTTTGTTACATTTACATTGTCGGCCTTTAGGTATTTCTTTATTTTGATACTTTTTTTCTCTGTTAGTCGTTTTGTGACATCTTTATATCTTAATTTTGCTGATGACATTATCTTATTCTTATTTTCGTCGTTGTTTTATGCAGTGAACACTGCCTATATTAATTGTATTCAAGTAACTTAGAATTTTAGACACTGATGGTTTTACTGGATGTGGTACGTGCTTCACATGTAGATGGCTCTATTTTCTGACGAGTAAAATACATTATATACACAAATTCAATTCAGATCCCCATAGATCATTGTTATGACTGTCGTGGTTGACTCAATTAAGAGTTCGTCGGTATCACAGCTAAATACATCCAGAATCATTCCAGTAGGTCCTACTTCTTTGTCTCGTCCTACACTAGATATAGGTTTTGAAATTCCAGCTACAGTTGGATGACCGGTGACATCATATTCAGGGAGGTTTTATATACTTGGCCACTTTGGCATGGCTGTGGTCAGATTGAACAGATCCTCAATATGTTCCTTCCAACAGCGCAAATATCTGCCTCACCTGGTTATTGATTTGCAACTTACTAATCAGGAAACTTTGTGCGGTAATCATGGATAACAAAAAAGTTTGTGAATATTCAACATCACGACGGTAGGGTAATACGATCTGGGACACCCAGCATTTCTTACCTACCTTCCATAGAATATATCGCAATTATGGCAACATGATCCCTACCCAACCATGACTTCCTTTGTGCCGCTGAAATTTGTCAAGAATTGTCTATGAAAAGATGAATACAGAGATGTCTGTTAGGCGGTGAGAAATTAACTTTCACAATAGAAATTTATCGACACTCAAATACTATCCTCCGCAGGGTTACAACACAACCTCAGAGATGATTTACGAAATAGCTACTAGAATCTGAAATGTCTGCCTTATACGCAGCATGAGTGCATTTACTGACATTCTGAGGAACATACTGAAGACTACAAGTGGGAGAAAATTTATGCGTTATTCTGCTAAGAAGATGAGACAATAGAATAGTAGTGACTTAAGGTAATGATGCTTTTCGAGTTTGATGATTTAGGCAACAACAAAAAATACGAACTCTTCATGGTTTACTTTGCAACGTCAATGGAATTTTTCAAAAATTTAAACAGAAGTAGTAATATATATTCATGTTTTCCCTAGATGTGTAAGTAGTACCGGTGTAATCACAATACTGGTGACATAGCGAACTATGTTACAGCGATTTTTGCGACTCAGATGACTTAGAAAACTCCGGTATAGTGATAAGAAGAGAAATTGTGATTTGTGTAAAATGCAGACCACTGATTAAGGAAAGTGCTAGTGTTTAGATATTTATTTCTGCAACGCGACTAACCAACAACCTAACTGCTGGTGGATTCAACATAGAACTTGGCACCGAAGTGCAGCAGTTCGAGTTGCCACGTTCCAAATAGCACACAAAGGTAGACAGGAAAATGAGAGAAGAGAATCAGGAGAATTTAGATAAGTTTAAGGGTGAAACAGAATGAGTAATGGTAGAAAGGAATATGACAGATTACAGAGACTAAATACATCTGCGTAAGCCATTGACAACGATTTTGAGCCATGTCACCTATTGTATCCAGCCATTGATTCTTAGAGTCCCGAGGGCGGGCCCCAACCCGGAAGTCTGCATCTCCCTACCTGACTCAGTTTAACTGTCAGGGATTTCATGGATTGATGAGGCCATGTTTTTGTTTGGCCACCACTTACTCTTTTCCAACCTACACGTATATCAGCTAGTAATGCCCGTCGTGGTGGGGGAGGCGATGGTTAGGCATGCGCAGCACGTGACCTAACCATCTCAATCTATGTAACTTCATAGCCTCTTCGAGTGATTTTCCCTCTTTGCCCAACACTCTACGCCTAACGTCAACTTAACTTATTATACCACCTAACGCGAGAAAGAGATCGTAAACATCTGTGGTCGAAAACAGACAATCTCTTCATGTTTTCCGCTCTCAATGGCCACGTCTCACCGCCATAGAGAAGGACGGAGCGAACTGCTGAGCAGTATACACGTCCCTTGGTTGACAGCCGGATGTCACGCCTACGCCAAAGACGGTGTAAGTTAGCGAAAGCAGCCCGAGCTTTCTGGATCCGTGCTGTGATTTCGTCACCAATCAATCCGTTGGTGCTGATACAACTTCCCAAATAGGTGAAGTGGTCAACCAACAACCTAACTATTAGTAAACAAAGCTTTTAGAATCGATGCTTATCACTAACATCATATTACTACTCCTTTTCTTACACGGATAGATTGCCTAGCCTAACTTCCAGATACGTTCATCCTTACACAACAAACCAGAAGAGAACACTTTCAAACTAGATAACATTTCATTGAATAATATGATGTCGTCATCAAACATAAGATTCGTGATATGGGATCAACACCTATCGCCCCAGTTTATCTTTTAATCTTATTTGCGTAGCACAGAATTTTATTGATAAATCAAATAAACCAAAGAGTGTTGTTGTAGTTTGCTACATGTGTACACTGTTAATAAAAAAAACGCCAAATATGTTTAGCTTTGATATAGATATATTAGGCAAATGACTATCACAGTGTCAAAGAAGTTTGACTAAAAAAACGACACAGACAGCCAAAAAAATATTAATGGATTAAAGGAAAACAAATTTTTAGATGACTAGGTGAAACATACACACAAACATAGTGTATCACTGAAAAGTTACAGGAACTGAGAAGAAATATATTATGGTATAGTCTCACAAAGGTGTTTAAAAGAAATTAAAATGAATGACTATTATCATTATTAGCAATAAATAAAGACAGTGGCAAAAGAAGCAAGCATATGTATATATGTACCATAAATACAAGTGAGTTGAGTGAAGCAGGATATTAGGAAAAAAATAATGGTAAAACAAGTTTTAAAGTCAATGGCTTAGTGAATATATTTCACGTCGATTGTAAATCATGTTTGCATTGAAATATTATTAGGTGTGAAGACCGTTACATTGTGGAAATTGCAAAAATGAATGACGTTTAATAGTGGAAGACATGGAGATGGTAAATATGATATTCATACATATGATTTGAGTGTAAATGAGGATGGAAAGTTTATATATACATAGGTTTTATATATAAATATATTTATATAATATGATTTGAATGCAGTGAGATGAGTACGTTGAGACTTGACGGAGATACCCATAACAAGAATAATTATGAAAGACATTTTGTGAATAAATTATCTAATTCCATTAAATAAATTCAGTGTAGAAGGTTGCATCTATAAAACAAAAGTGAACAATACAACATGAATACAGCAAATAAATGAAAGTGAAGTACATAGTTTTTTTTTAAATTTAAGGTTAATTAACTAAGGGCACTAAGTCTTTGCCTACCTTGCTAAAATCCTTCTTGGTAAAGTGAAATTTTAATACTTTGCAATTTGGTATGAGTATGAAAATGGATTAATCGAATTGAATTAAATCGGTTCGACCCACCCAACCTGAAGAGATATTATCATTTCTAAGAATGTGAACACAACTTCCGCATAGGCTTCAGTAACAACAAAATGCACCCCTAGTGTTTTCTCGGGTTGCCAATGACAATATAATTAAGACCTATTAGTATCAAGTCATCTGTGAGATAACATGAATTCTCTATTAAGTAAATCACCCACAAAAAAGTTGACTAGTCAACTTTTAAGACCTGAATACTGCTAGTGGCTAAAAAAATGTCAATATGAGGAATATCTACACACACTTACTTTCGGAGTTTTAGCTTTGGTAAATATATTCCAAAAGCGTAGTGTTTCATCCCCTGCTCCAGTCACAATATTTTCACCATCTGGACTGATTGCCAAATACAACACTCGATACGAATGTCCAACTAGTTTGACCAACTGAGTAAGACTAGGATATCGCCAGACAAGAATTTGGTTCTGTGAGTAGCCGTGTGTGCTGACTAATTCGTTGCTATGTATTGACCAAGCGATATTGCAAACCTGTGTTATTAAAGATACAATAATTTAGATACAGAGTATTTCTAAATGAAGAGGTCATCAACCAAGTTAAAATATTTATCAGAGACTGAGGACAATCTGCTCCATAAATACTGAGGACGTTACACAATCAACATTGTAAGTATAAATTAACGTAGTTTGTTAGTGCATGATAACGTAAAATGCATAAAACTGAATTAGTAATTAACGCCACTAACGTGAAATACGGAATTGACTCTTCCCTAGGGAAGCTTGAAGCTTTTGACTAGAGTTTTAAATGATTATTTAGTAGCAATAGTATACGCAGCAATCAAACTAATTACGTATTCTACTGAAAAGCCGAAAAATGTACAGTAATGAACATGAAATAAAACAGATAAAAACAAATTAACTAGACCTGACAGTGTTTTTGTTCCTGTCGGAAGGCTATGAAGTTCTGGAAAATATTTTTCTTAATTGTCATTCGCCTTAATTACTACGATCAATAGAACTTTAGCGTTTTTCAGTATCCAGTCACTGCAACAAATTACACTGCAGCATTGTTAACGTCTTCCAGGTGCCTCCCACAGCTGTCTCGGCAGATAAGTTACGAAAATTCATGGAGTGGTAGGACCGAAGATTTTATAAACACTCCTTTCAAAAACCAGTGTTTCCATCTACAACAGTACATGTTCTACCATTGAATTATCTGTATTCTCAAATTTTGATGAATTGTTTATGGTTGGTCACTTCTAATACACTGAAAACTATTTAACCTTCACATTTAGCATCTTAAGACTTCTGTTCCAGAATCTACATGAAACCCACAAAATGTGACCAAAGACTACCTACTTGGCTTCCAGTATCAACACTACGCAAAGCTTGGCCAGTTAACGTATTCCAAAAACGAATGCAGCGATCAGCTGTACCACCGCCGCTAGCAAGTAATCCATGCTGATGAGGTGACCATGCAATTGCCTTGACAGCAGCAACATGTTCTTCATAAGTTAAAACCGGACCTCCAGTAGATGGAGCATGTTGACTCCAAACAAGCAGACGATTGTCATTACCTCCTGAAGCCAAATACTGACTATCTGGTGACCACTTCAGTCCACATACCTTTTTATTTAGATGGAATAAACAAAGTAAAATGAAGTATTAAAGTCAAAGATGCGTTAGTTAACATTGCATAATTGCATTCATATACGACAAAATAAGCAAGCACAACACCGTGTTTGCAACGTAAAACAGTGGCTAGTAATTAAATGAAATGATACTCAACTTAAACAGTGAGTTGAATGCAACTCTTTACTTCTTTGCGAAGCAGCATGAAGACAATGTATAGACAGACGTCCAAAAGGACCCAGGTCAGCAGAACAACAAAACTACCAAAATAAAGCTCACACTCTTAATTTATGCTCTTATAATATGCTTTTCAATAATATCAGAATGCAGAATCGAAGTCGCTCAAACACAGAAATCCTTATTACTACTATAATTACCTCTTGTCTGTGATCTTTCAACACACGAACTGCCCCAGGAACAAGACGATCTGTCCCATTTTCAATTGATTGCAAAGCAGTGCTATTGGTAACAGTGGAACTTGCTGAAGTTCTTGCTGCAGACCACGACGATCCATGCTCTACATCTCGAAAACCGAGTACTTCCATATCCATACGAGCTGGTGTGCTTGGAGAGTCGATTTCTGCAAGATTACTAACAGACATTATCGGTGTTGAAGCACGTGCACAATTCAGATCGTTATCTCCCTGAACAGGATGACTTGGTAAACTCATGGAACTTGGATAATCTTGATCTGTCATAATTTCATCTCTGTCTGCAAGCTCAGCAGTTGGTTCAGAAGTAGTGATGGGATTTGAGTTAGGCAAATGCCCAGCAGGACCTCCACCAGAATTAGCAGAAGCGCGGGTATCACGAAGTAATATATAGCGATCTCTACTTCCTGATGCTAAAAGATCAGCATTCCAAGCTAAAGCACCAACCCTAGCGATATGTCCGTTTAGTGATCGTATGCAGGAACTTTTTGTCACATCCCAAATTTGAACATGACCACGATAAGTCCCGATCGCCAAATGGCTTCCCTAAAAATAAAAACAAGCATAATTGTTTTACAGAAAGCAATGCCGACATAACTGTGATAAAAAAAATGTCATTCAATGTTCTGCTAACGTTAACAGTTACTTGCTGAATAACATGCTAGTGTACCTACAAAATAAAATATCTATATTCAATGTTGTTACATTGAGAACTTTTCACTCATGAATGAATGAAAACTGTGCTGAATGCCCCGTTGAGGTTTAAAGTCGACGACTGTCAGAAAGACAAGACAGATGCAACTGAAAAACGCATCACAAATGCACTGAGAGATTTTCTAAAGAAGAATTTGATTGACAAGAGCACGTACAATGAATTGAAACCCCGAGGGTCCCGCTTGCCATATATGTATGGCCTTCCAAAGATACACAAGAAAGAAGTCCCTCTGAGACCAATACTTTCGATGATCAACTCTCCTCAACACAAGGTTGCCCGTTGGCTTGCGGAGAAGTTGGAACCCATAAAAGACTCATTTCATTTCGCCAAAAGCGTGAATCATATGAACGTTTCATATAAGTTCATGGTTTCATTTGATGCGACCTCCTTGTTCACAATGATCCCAATCAATGAAACCATTGAAATCATTTGTCAACAGTCTGATCTTCCACTACCAGAGTCAGAATTCAAACGCCTACTGCTAATGTGTACCATGGGTGTACAATTCTAGTTTGACAACACTTTTTACCGACAAATAGATGGTGTAGCTATGGGCAGTCCACTTAGCCCTGTTTTAGCAGATATCTTCATGTCAAACCTTGAGAAAACAAAGTTGAAGCATGCAATCGATTAAACAACTTCCTATTGTCGATATGTCGATGACACATTTGTAGTATGCAACAACGAAAGTCATGCCTCCTACCTACTCAGCCTATTCAACAAAGCACATACAAATATTGTATTTACCATGGAACATGAAAATGATGGGAAGTTCCATTTCCTTGACATCGCCATGCAACGCCTAGAAGATGGTAATCTCCAGAGGTCAATTTACCGAAAGCCTACATGGAATGGACAATACTTACATTTTAATAGTTTTTGTCCAAACAGCTATAAACGAGCACTAGTCAAGACTCTGTACTATAGAGCAAGGAGAATTTGCTCTACAGAGAAACTAGAGGAAGAATTTATGATTCTCGAAAAGGTGCTGAAAAACAACGGTTACCCTCAAAGATTCATTGACAAATATGGAAGATGTGAAGGCTCAAATACTAAACAAATCATAGTTGAAAAAAGCCTGTCTTCATTCAACTAGATTTTAAAGGTGAAAACATTGCAGAAATGGTCAACAGAAGACTGAGAACGTCACTTTCTGCCGAAGCAATCTCTATCAAACGCTTGAAACCAGATTTATGTGTTCAGAAAGAAGCAGTTATTAATCTTTCCTTGCCCTGGTAACTGAATGTCTATTCTCTCATCTGATTACGTAATCTTTGTCTTTAACCTCACCCCGTTTTATAATCTAATTTTGCTTGCCCCTTGTTTCTATGATTTGAGTTGAACTCAGTACATTGTTACTTAATTTATTAGTCACTGTATCTAACGCATATTTCGTCCTTATTACGTAACTCTTTTACCATTGTATGCATACATCTATTTTGTTTAAACTTGAACTGCCTGTGTAAAAACTATATAAGCACAATTTTCTGAGCACTGTTCACTTATTGTGGAACATTTTGTCAACTTACAACATGTAAAATTTGCAAGTATGTCAAAACTTTTCTGTACGCAAACCTCATAATTTATTTGGGCTGTAAGCAGCTGATGAGAAGCCTGCGAAATAAATGATGGTACCATATTATTCTGCACAAACCACTGCTGTTCTTGCTTTATTCAAACTTTTCACTCAGATAAATATCATCATTTAATGATACTCCCTGAAGTATAGATATATAGGCATATTTCTAACAACAAACATTCATTAAATGATGAAAGCCAAAGCAAATTCATATGGCAAATTCAATCATAATATCCGTCGGAGACCGATATTCATTATAGAAATGAATTATGTTTAATGTGCCTTATAATAATGTATAAAGTGACGTAAAACACAGAACAGGATGGTAATACAAACAGATTTTTTTGGTTGGACGACATTACAGTCCATTGCAAACATTTCAGGATCGAAGTAAGCAGTCTTGCTAACACTAGCAGTTTAAAGTACATCGGGTTTAAGTGAAATAATTATACGGCAGACATTTTTCGGAACCTGACATCGTCCAAAACATGCAGAAAACAAACACACCAACGACTAAGCTGTAGTAGTTAACACAAGTATAGACAATCCGGTGGAAAAGAAGAATATTACTCACACAAAACGTTGTTCTAACCTACACCAATAAGTAAATTAAGTCGGTAGTCTTACCTGTGACTTTATGAAACACTCACTTTTAAATTCTGAAAGGCGAAACGAATGATTCACTAACTTTATGGCAATCTTCAATGACAACAGGTGTCGCAACCTTTCATGTAAAATTAGAATAAAGTTGAATAATCAATAAGGTAACCTAACAAATGGTTTATGCGTATGCATAAAGCAATGAGCACACTTGATGTGACCTGATATTACTTAAACCGCACATTTTTCACCAAATATTTTTTGTTGGTTAGTTAGTTATTACATATTACTCAAGTTTTACTAGATGCTTCGCTTAGTACAAAATAGGTGAATTTTATTGACCATTCCCATTATCTTCATCAATGTAAATCCTATCACGACCAAACAACGAAAAGGGTGAAATCAACAGTTAGTGAACATATCTATAAAAGTACCTTTTTAGACCAAGCGACCGAAGAAATAACATCAGTTTCTCCAGAAACATCGCATAGTCGAGTGACCTAAATAGAGAAAAGCCAAGAAATTCAGCTTAGTAAATGAGTAGGCGAAACAGATTGTTAGTACAGACTCAAAATACACAGCTCTTACTTGACTTGTAAATGCATTCCATAAATAAACGCACGTGCCCAGACCAACCGCAAGAACATTCTGAGATGACCAATCCACCAGATTGAGATAAAAATCGTCTTGTAACTCCGGGGCATCCAAAACTTTATAGGGTACACGAGATATTTTCCGAGCTTGCTGCAAAACAGAAGTTCCACAAAATAAGTATCACAAATTTAAACACGAAAGTAACAGTTGAGGGGAATTCGAAACTTGTCGATTTAATTATTTAACATGCTGAAGACGTCAAACACAATCGACTTTTACTCAAACGAGAATCAGAGTTATTTCACCCATATGCAAGAGTTTGTTTTAAAGGATAAAAATTTATCAATTTACTTGCCTTTTGTGGAAATCTAAGTAGATGTTGGCTCTTTTCTGATACAGGAGACATGGTGTACGGGGAGGTTTTCAATTTACAAGGACTCTCTCGTCGTAGCTTGAACTGCAGTAAAAATAATAATCAATGAAAAAATAGTGAGGGGTAATAATACACGAAAACTTAGTTTTTCAAGAGCATTAAGCAAAGAAATTCGGTAAAACGAGAACGATATCAAGGCTGTTTCTGAACGCATAGCAGTTAGAAATGAGCCTATTCTTTGTAACCCACAAATTAGCATTGGGTCATACACCCAAGGGGACTAGTACTGTGGTTTTGTGATATATGATTGATCGCAACACCCAGTTATGCTCCTGGCACTCTGGTTGCCCAATGAAAAGAACTTCCGACTCCTAGTTAATAAATATAGACTGTCATAATAGTGTAAAAAAACATTTAAGGCTGCTTGTTACGGTGAAATCAGCCACACATTCCCAGCAAAATTGGGTGTCAGCTGACCGAATTAATCAGTGCAACGAAACCCAACCACAGTACAGACTTGTTGGTTATGACATTTAATGTCCATACACCATCACTGAGTAGTAGATACCCTATACACAACCTAAGGACTTAAGATTGATCCTAAGCCACAACTGTACCTGTACAAATGTACAATACAAATGCGACAAAATAAATCCAACGAAAAGCTTTTGAAGTACCAATGCCCTTTTATCCTGATGTTTCCGTTGCACTAACACGGATGCACTTCAGTTTGAATCTAATATTGAGTTTACTAAGCGTGATTAGATTTACCCAAAACTTAGTCCAAGCTCTTTGTAAAAATAACGGACTAAACCATTTATAAGCATATGTTATTAACGAACTTATCTTTCATTTAGACTTATCAAGAGTAAATCAAACATCTAACCTCACTAATGAAGATGAAACAATACAGACTTCCAAGTTTTATCTCGACCAGTCAAGACGTACCATTCCCGCTTTTGGTTAAGCTTGTGTGAAGTCACTTGAATGGCCTTAGCAGTTCCTGAGGTTAAACATAATTAGTGCAAACATTACAAATGAACTAAGTGTTAGAAGATATTACCAGTAGCATTCGATTATCTAAAATACAGTTGTGCTGGGGTTGGATAACACCCTTGAAGTAAACCTAGTAGTACTATCAAGCTTAACTGTAGAGGAGAACTTAGGCACTCTGAAGCAGGGAAGGCATCTATAAACAATAGGAACCCAAAACGAAACGACCTACGAACGCACAAATGACCTCGTCAAGGACCAATCCGAAGGCTCAAGAAAAACGACTATAGTCGTCCCAGGCAGCACTAAGCGCTAGACAACTGGCAATAATACACATGCCCTGCGCTTAGGGGTCGCCTCAATATGTCGTTTCTGGAGCCTGGTGTCATATATCCCAAAAACCTATTGCTGGAGAAAAGTCACCTGATCGGTTGCTCAAGGTCATTTGTGCGTTCGTAGGTCGTTTCGTTTTGGGTTCCTATTGTTTACAGTTGCCAATTCCTCCCCATATTACTGAAATGAATAAACTGTTGTTATTTTCCAACCGGAAACTTCAAAATACCATACACACAAAATAACTTACGGAAAACATATTAGTATTTTCTCTGGCTGCTAAAACTCCATCTGAGTTTCCAAATTTAGGCTTCACGGGGCTATAAACACCGCCCAGTGTTTCCTCAAGCTCATTTGCCACAAGAGCAGAAAGGAGATCACAGCCTCGCGCCTCGCTTGGAACTGGAGATTCCTGTGCAACTGAATTGCCACTGGATGTCCCCCAGTTACTTTCTCCGGTAAAGGACGCAAGACTGTGATGACCACTTTGACTTGTATGATCTGCATTGTTGTTAATCCCATCAGTAGACCCACGGCTATTCTGGAAGAGTTTTCGTGTAGGATTGCTGTTAGGCTGCTACAATTAACTTAAATTAGAATTCCTAATTAATTAACCTCGAAGAAGGTTGATGTTTTCCAGCGTGCATTTGTCCTCAAGGGAATGTATCTATCCATATAGTTTTCTTTAGTTGGAGTCTTCATAGGGCTAACAGATTTAATAGGCTACAAAAATAAGGAGTATAAAGGACTTACCGATTTATATGGAGACCCTAGAAGTCGTTTTTCGTAGCCCTGCTCCATCCTTAACCGAATTAGCTAATCCCTGAAGGGCGCCTTTGAGGAAGAGGAACAAACAAATCTCAATGTTCAATTGGTGAACATAAACTTTCGTACGGCACATATAAAGAAATAAAAGTTTTACTAGTGAAGCTATGAAAAGATATCAGGGTTTTCTGCCTGTTTTTGAGGGCTTATCAAAATAGCTCATCCAATCTGTTGGTGATAATAATTGTAGTTTGAAAGTAGGCGTCCATACTCTGTATTTCCACATTCTAAGTCTCTCTTTCTTATATATATATATATAGTCCCTTTTCATGGATGGTCAATTACCAGCCACAACCCTATCTGCAAATCTGGATAGTGGGATGGATAATTCATGTGATCCTTAATTCATGCTAATTCATGCTCTGCATTTAAGTGACCCAAAAGATGATGAATATGATCATGACATTAATGGTAAATTATACAGGGCATTATTCAGACGCTATGGATTGTGTGGATTATTGTGTCTTACTTCTATGGTCCCCACAAGTGGCCACATATGCACGTTGTATCACCAAAAGCCAATGCCCTTGACCATCATGCGTCAAGCACGAACTGCCGCGCTACAGGTGTTCAGTTCTGCGTGAAGCATCTTTCCTCATTATTTTGGAAATTAACCGCTTTCCTCACATTATCCACATATCCATACTTAGCAAGGATTGTATTGTATCACGTGAAACTACATATAGTATTCACCCGTGAAATCTACAACTCGGAATCTTCTGTTACCCTCTCTAACCACGTGGAACTCAGGATTTTATCTACAGCAAGCACTGTAAAGGAAAGTCTGACTTTTTATTTTGCAATATATATCTGTTTATCGTAGTTGTTTTGATACTTCGATAATACAGCTACCTTTTTTATATCCTCAAGACTTTTTTTCCGGAAACTGTGAAAATTCTTATTTCTGTAATGGTTAAGTCAATCAAACGTGTAAGTACCGTTAAGAGACTGAGATCTAACGCTCGTCAACCATCTGAGGGCCTCAGCTCCGTTGACGATTCTACACTTTTGACACCAGACACACCCAAAGTTATGGTATCTGATATCATGGGTGAACTGACAGAGAATGCGGCTTGTAGCAAAAATGATTTACTGATACAGACCTACAGAGCAAGTTTGACAGCACTATGCCCCTCGCGCAATTGTGTGATCCATCACAAAACATCTGTCTTGAATCACTTATGAAACCCGAGCGCATAATTGACTATTTGGCTGAAGAAGCTGTTAAGAGGATTATGTCTTCATATAACGTCTTGGCCTATAACATTCCAGACAGAGAGCCTATTACCAAACTTAAAGCTTCATGCCGTTGACAGAATGTCAGGTTTCGCGTCTTCGTAAGAAATCTGCAAACCACTCATGTCCGGTACTTTTCAAGTTCAGGTCTGTCGAAGAATCCAGGAATTTTCTGAAAGCTAGTAAGATAATAGGCTCTTCAACACCCTACACTAACATTAAGATTGCACCTGATTTAACACCGTGCCAAAGACGATGCCGCTCAGGAACACTGAATTCTGATAACTCTAATAGGACAACTGTAGATGATGTTCCATGCGTTATTCCGTCTACTGGAAAACCTGATGACCGCATGCATCAGACATTTTCTCAAGCACAGACTAATATTAGCCAAGTATTATATAACGACACTGATGCTGACACTGAACTGGTGGACATAGATGGGTCAATGGAACATAATGCTGAAATAGATCGTTTTCACACTGACACAAACGTTCAGAGATTCCTAACGAAACGCATAATAGGGTTTGACCAACCAGTGGAATATGCTGACAGGTATATGCGTCTGAATTTAGAACCTCTGTGGTTAAGGAGAGTGAAGTGCAAATTATTTCTACTATTCAAAGTCATAAGAAAACACTGTTGTAGTAACTCATCCATAACGTGGGAAAATATTAAATCATATCAGTTGCGAAACCACAACTACCTTGTCAAGGTGGCTACATACAGAAAATCCATTAGGGCAAAATTTTTCACCATTAAATATTGCACTCTTTGGAACCAACTACCATCCGAAATTAGATGTTGTGAAAACCCCAATGGGTTCAAACGGAGCCTACAGAGACACATTAACATGTCCACCCTAGCTTGTCTAAAGGACCACAAATGTTGGTAAAATGGTAAGTAAAAACCGGTCCAGTCTTCAGCTCAGTCAGTTACATATAACTCGACTCTACTACTTACGCAGCGAACGTTTAACTAATTCACTGATTTTCCTTTCTGTATAGACTTCAATAAGTTATGTTAATATAAGTACTTCTAGAAACAATTATATTAGCAACCACACCTTTTAATATTTTACATATGTATATACAGTTAATAATACAATGCTATTTTTTGTGTCTGAATGACTTTACTCAGCCAATAACCACCTTTTCTCACACACCTTCCTAAAACGTATAATCTTTATAATATTTCGCAGTATTTTTAACATTATATAAGTTGAAGGGTTACTTTGCAATGTCTAATGCGCACCGTATGAAAATCGGTCATGAAAATTTAGCATAGCTAGCTCTGTTAACCGGCTGTTTTCTTCAGGATAATTATACATAATTTTATCACTAATTGTTCCACTACACTTTTTACTCTGCTAAATAGACTTCAACTTAGTTGCTGTAATACTAGCTACTTCTATACTTCATACTTCTTAAACACAATTTCCTAGGCGTCGGCTACAAATATATTATTAATATTAGTAGTACTATTTTTGAGTTGAAATGACTATCTTCAGTCAACAGTTACCCATTTTCATATAATTTTCTAAAAAAATTCATATTGTTGAAATTATGTAGTATTTTTCCATTATGTAATTGATGAGTCACTTTGCAATGTGTAACGCACACCATATAAAATCGGTCGTGAAAATTTAGCATAACAAGTTCTGCTAACCAGTTGCCTTACTCAGGACCACTTTACATAACTTTATCACTAATTGTTTCACTATTCGTATCACTCTGATAAATAGAATATAACTTAGTTGCTCTAATATTAGCTATTTTTATCCTTCATAACTCTAAAGGGAAACCTAATTTCTTAGTCTTTTGTAGTAACCCACCTGTTCACTAGTATGATGATAATATTGCTAACAATGTCCTCTGGTATTATTGTGCCATGTGACCTAATGGGAAGCACTTGTCATGAAAGCTGTTAATGTGCAGCATACTGTATGATTGAGATGGAGTCAAAGCAACCCAATATTACAACTGCAGTCATTGTAAAAGGTCTCAGAGCTTAATGTCAATAAAGGAGGGAGGGTGGCGCATGCTGATCAGCAGATATGGTAGTGGTCACAAATGTGAATCGCTCCGATCTGTAGGACAGCAACATGCATTATTTTGGCAGCTCGACAATTAAACATGAGTTTAGATACTATAAATATAAAAAAATTGACTTTATAAAAAAAATTTAAGAAAAAACTAAAACAATAATGACTGTACAGTTTTAGCTTGTATAAAAATAACAATGCTTTCGCTCGTAACATCTACAAGCCTGCTCAGTTTCTTGTCAAGATGCTATCCCATGGGCCATACACAAGTTCGCCAGACATCCTACAGGTCACCATATCCAACACGTTCTAATCCTTCTAGCCACTTCTCTCTAAAATGTCACTTATAAACTTCACGATAATCCTTCTACCTAATTACTATTATACTCTATTTTATCTCAACTTCCTAGGCCTTTGGTAAAGCTGAAATTTATTCTTTTGTTTTTCTTTTTCCTCATTCACACTCTTCTCTCGCATAAAGTTCGGTTGCTCTGATGGTTAAAAAAACATAACAACAGCACTCATGTTTGAGAATAACTTTATTTTCATAGAAAACGTCATAGTTTTCTACGGTAAGACCAATATGGTTAGCATCATACATTGCAAATGTGCACTATCATATCAAGTACTGTATAGCTTATTTTTGTATTTTTCTTGTAAATATACTTCCAATAATGTATTATTCATGATTGCATTTTATACCACTTTGTAGCTGTGCAGGATTTTCTCCTCTTCCTGAAATAGCGTTCAAGCACGTGGTTGTCGCTCAACTTAGATGGAAACCTTCGTGGAAGATTTACAAATTAACAATTATAAGAATCTGTTCCGAATGCTTGTACTATATAATTCAACAATGTGAACTTTTAAAAAGGAGTGATAATCTTACTATCCCTTGTAAACGTTGTACTTACCTCAATATTGGTTGGTTATCGTATGCCTACAACTACGGGTTGAAAACGAAACGAAGTCGATTTTCCTGCGCAACCTGGAGGACTACTGTTTAATTCAATAATGATACGACATGGGTCAGACAATGAGTGTATTTATATATATATCAAATATTTAGCTGTTGAAATATTATTAACTTGTAGACAATCTACTATTTGTCATTATATCATACTTGATCGTGCCTGTAAAAAAGGCATGCATTTTCATGTAAATTTATGTTTATATGAAAATATAAATTATTGTTATAAATTATTATTATTATTATTGCCATCATCCTTGGAAGACTTAATAACCAACAAACACTAATGAATTTGAAAGTGTCTCTCTCAAAACCAGATAAAAAGTGTCTAGCCCTGAAGAATTAGGAGAACCTGGAACTACACACTTCTGACAATGTTAAGGCTTGAAAGCTGCAGAAGTCCTCTTGAAGTGCACCTGTTACTAATCCCAAACTTAGACTTATTTTCCGACTCACACATTCTTTAAAAGTCTGTTTGAACAGCGGATTGTAAACTGACGCCATACGGATAATAAAATTAGCAAAGTATTAAACATTATTATTTTTGCATATGGCCTATCCAACTAGGATGGTTTGAAAATGCTTACTCCAAATAAAGCCTGTTTCAAACCAAACAGATTTCAAGAACCTGACGCACCTACCATATGCTTCGGCATCATCACTTTGTTGAACGTGACATGTATTGACGGAACTACTTAATGTGGAACGTCGCATACACAAGGCAGTATC